TATATATATATATATCTGATATATATCCTTGCGTTATGCAATATCGTGAGGTTGTGTTATGTTACGCCAGGCTTATCTCCCTACGAAGGATAACACGAGTTAATTAAGAATAAAAATGCTCTAACTAAGCGTACGTGGGTATACGCGCCGCGAATATGACTTAATGAAATAATTAGAATATTTCCACCACGACACGAACAATACGCCGACGCGACGCACGCGCACCGCAATTAGCACTACAGACGGGTAATACCACCCCGCCCCTCCGATCGCGTGGCGGATTTAACAGTGCCCCACCCACCCCCTACACCACCCTCACATCACCGCGCGCCTTTATTACCAGGCATCAAGCTATACTACCATTAATCATTGACGGTGAACAGAGTCACAGCTTAGCGCTGCAGCCGAGGCGAGCCGCCCGTGCCTTGGAATTATTCTCTACGAGCGTGCCAGCTGCAGGCATCGCTGCATCGCCTGTCAGCAGATTTGGCATCGTACGCACGCACGCGGCAGCAGCCAGCCAACGTAGAGTTTTCCCGTAGGATAAACGCACCAAGTTCGCGTTACATCCGCACGCCGACTCGACACACTTACCAAACCATGCCATATGCGCCTTCTCCGATGTATGCCAGTCCAGTGTAGCGGGGGCCAACGTCGAATATCTGTCCCCTGACCACTTCCCCTGTCGCGGTGGCTTCAGCGACCGCCGCCATGGTTGCTGTAGCATTGCGATGACGTCACGGCGAGGCGGTTTCCCTGACATCCCATCATGCAGTGCGCGGCGTATGCGACTAGCGCGGCAACTGCGAGTGAAGGTGGCGAACAACAGTAGAGGGCGTCCATAGGCGGCAGGCCCGAATAAGCATCGAACAGAAATTAATTAAAAATACTCACACTGTTACTGCGCTTACACAACATACACTTTATTCATGTTAAATAACTACAGATTCATGCTCTATGCTCTGCTCGAAACTTTTGCCAGCTCTATGATGCGCATTTCTGCAAAGTTGTCTGAACACATTTCAAATAAAAAAATTACCAACCGGTCGCTGTGGCTACGCCACCTGACGGAATGTCACGAATACACAACAAGACCAATTTTACTTCTAATGCTTTCTAGACGTCCACGAGGCATCTAACTTGCGTGCATAATGCAAATTATTGCACTCTAGTACCGAATTTCGGCGAAAAAAAATCCAAAAAGGCTTTTTCTAGAGACGAAATAGACACTTCGTGTCTTACAATCACAGCCTATATACGCCGCACCAGAGTTTTATATTTTTAAATATGGGGACCCATTGGACCACCAAATCGCCGATCTCAGGAACTAGGGTATTCTGCTAGGCTAGAACGGTTTCCTACGATAGAGTTTGGCCCAAATACGAAAATAACACGCTGTTTAGCGCACCGCGCTACGTCCTTCTGTCGCATTTTCGCATTTCCGTAATCAGAATAAGCCCCGCCTTCTTCTTTGATGGGCATGAATGGGGCGTCAACGACGTGACCCGTTACTGCGTGTAGGTGTTTGGCGAGATTGTTTGCTTTTCGTAAATAATGAAAGGCCCGGCTGATGCATTTCGCACCGAAGTGGAAAAATTGGGCATTTTTACCCACTTTCGGAAGTGAACGAGTGCGTCATTCATTGAACATTGAAGTTTTTCTTAAAATTAAATAATTCCGAAAATCTCTAACCGCGCTACTCGATTGTTTTAGCCAATGAACGTCTATGTGACGTCTTGTACGCATGACGTATGACGTATGACGCATAACGCATTGACGTATGTGACGTCAATGTGACGTCTTGCCCGCGCGCTTTATGCTTGGCTTAGCGGGCCTCGAAATGGATATCGGAGGCAGGCACCTCGCAACACGCGTGTTTGTTTACATATAACTTTGTGACATGAGAATGGGCGGTGTATGGCGAGTTCATCAATTTTTTACACATACGCAGAAATAAATCTTGGCCTCAACAGTAGCGCGACGTGGAGAGAGAGGAAGGAAATTTCACTAGTAAACCCACGAGAACTTGCTAGCTTTTTGCTGACTTTTGTTTGGAAGTATTTTCAAACTACCGGTACTTCTTAATGTAACAGTAACGCAAAACAACTTAATTTACAACCCTTCGTTCTGCTTGCTTTTTGCAGCTATAAAAAATATACAACGTTCCATTATTCTGGTATAAAGCCGAGAAAGTATTGACTTCAGATACATATATATATATATATATATATATATATTATATCAAGAGCGTATAAATAAGGATACTATCTTCTTTATACACTCTTGATTATATATATATATATATATATATATATATATATATATAATATCAGGAGTAAGATAATATAGGTATGATATATAATATATATCGATATATATATATATATATATATATATATATATATATATATAT